CAGCTACGGGAAGGCCAGGGAGAGGACCGCCGAGGACCTGAAGTCGGAGGAGCTGGCACGGGAGATCGTGTGCAAGGACAGGTCCCTGGCGGACATCCTGGACCCCAGCGTGAAGGTCAGGACCACCATGGACCTGATGGAGGGCATCTTCCCCAAGGACCAGCAGCTCCTGGAGGAAGCGCAGCAGCGCCGGAAGCTGCTGCCCAAGGTCCCTTCTCCCAGGGCCGCGGAGGACAAGTGAGTGCCCGCTGTGCGTCTACGGGGTCTCGTGGGTTACAAAGGGCCAGGGGCATCTGTGTATGTATATAAATGAATCCTCACCCGAGGATAGTTTTTTCCCATTGATTTTTTAGAGAGAGGGAGGGAGAGAGAGAGAAACAGAAACGTTAATGTGAGAGAGATACATCGATTGGTTGTCTCCCACATGCACCCCAACTGGGGTCGGGGATTGAAGCATGTGCCCTTGACCGGAATTGACCTGGGAACCCTTCAGTCCAAGGGCCGACTCTCCAACCACTGGGCCACACTGACTAGGGCCGCACACAGTTGTTTGTTTGTTTTTTGATTATATTTTTATTGATTTCAGAGAGGAAGGGAGAGGGAGAGAGAGATAGAAATATCCGTGATGAGAGAGGCATCAATCGGCTGCCTCCTGCACGCTCCATACTAGGGATGGAGCCTGAAACCCAGGGCTGTGCCCTGCCCAGGAATCGAACCGGGGACCTTTGGATGCATGGGTTGACGCTCAACCACTGAGCCACACCAGCCGGGCTCCACGATCATCCTTTCGCAACAGTAGGCTGCAGTGCCGGGGTAGGGCATCACATGATTTATTGATTCACTTTAGAGAGAGAGAGGAAGGGGGAGGGGGGGGCATGGGTCCGTTGTTCTGCTTATTTATACATTCATTAGTGGACTCTTGTCCGTGCCCTGACTGGGGATAGAATCCGCACTCTTGGTGTTTGGGGACGATGCTCTAACCAACTGAGCACCCGGCCAGGTGAGGGTGCCTCTCCTAGAAGTGGCACTCACGTCGTCCTCGTACACCTCCGACACCGCCGGGGGAAACTGTCTGTCTGCACTCTTCCGTCCTGGGCAGAGACTTTTATTTTTATTATTATTTTTTAAAAATCCTCCCCCGAGGATATTTTTCCATTGATTTTTAGGGCGAATGGAAGAGAGAGGGAAAGACAGAGAGGAACATCGATGTGAGAGAGACACATTGATTGGTTGCCTCCTGCACACGCCCTGACCAGGGCCCCGGGCTGGGGAGGAGCCTTCAGCCAAGTACGTGACCTTGACTGCAATTAAACCCAGGACCCTTTGGTCCCAGGACCCTCTATCCACTGAACCACACTGGCTAGAGCCCAGGTGAAGACTTTAGACATCCTTACTTATTGCAGCCTCCCTCCCCACTCCCTACCCCTGCTTTTTAGAAACCCTGCCCCTTAGCCTTGATGAATATCCATCTGGCAAGGTATCTTCAGTCCTGACCTTACCTTGTCCTTCTTTTGCTGCCTGTCTCCCTGGCTAGTGTCCTTCCGAGGGCGCCATCATTTGTCGCAGCCCCGGTTGCCGGGTAACCGTGGGTTGGTGCCCATGATCGCAGATAATTGAGGTTCTGGCATTTTTACAGGAGAGAGGAGCCCAGCGCGCCTTCAGCCGTGTCCCTGGCCACCAATTCCGCGTACTACAGCACATCGGCCCCCAAGGCGGAGCTGCTGATTAAGATGAAGGACCTGCAGGAGCAGCAGGAGCCCAAGGAGGACTCGGGGAGTGACCTGGACCACGACCTATCTGTGAAGAAGGTAGGACAGCCTGGGTTCCCCATGGCGGTACGCACAGAGGCAGGCGGGGGCGCACCCGTCCGCACCCCCCAGGGGCCCTGCACCGCGTGTGGGGCATTTGTGCTTGGCTTCTATGCAGGGCAGTGGCGTTTGGGGCAGTCGTATTAAGCCCTGTGGTTAAACGTCCTGTTCTAAGATGGGGCCTTTCCACCAGGATCTTTGCCACCTTTTTGTAATGAGATCCAGTGTCAAACTAGCTAAGTGGGCACCATTCTCTTTCTTTTCTTTTTAAATATGTTTTTATTGATTTTAGAGAGGAAAGAAGAGGGATAGACATAGAAACACTGATCGGCTGCCTCCTGCACACCCCCTACTGGGGATCAAGCCCGAAACCCCGGCGTGTGCCCTGACCAGGAATTGAATTGTCACCTCTGGGTTCATGGGTCCATGCTCAACCACTGAGCCACACCAGCCAGGCTCATTTAAGTTCAACTGATATGTCCCTTTTATCCTGGTGAAAATCCAGGGAAATAATGGTGTGCCCTTCAGAGAACCCCATGTCCTCTCTAAATATCAAGTTCGCATGTCTGTAAGCAGATGGTCCCAACTCCAGCAGTGGGCTGGACAGTGCTTGCGTAAGCAAACAGCATCGTTGGATCAACTCCAAGACTCCCTCGCCTGGCACTTGGGGATATGGCCGTGGACAGAGCGAATAGAGCACCTTCTCTGGGAGCTCATGTTCTCTGAGGCCAGGTGCGGAGGCAGCCAGCACATAGACAAAGACACGTGCTACACGAGGCCAGCCCACACGCGCGGCCCAGCCTGGCCCACCACCTGCGTGTCAGTAAAGTGGCATGAAACAACCGCATCCCTTCCTGTGCATGTGGGCTGGTGGCTCTCGCACGACAGCAGCAGAGCTGCGTCCTGGAAACAGTGGCCACATGGCCAGTAAAGTCTGAAATATTTACCATCTGGCCCTTTGCAGAACAAGTTTGCCAACTCTTTTTATTATTATTAGTAGTAGTAGTAGTATTTTTTTGTTAATCCTCATATGAGGATATTTTTTTATTGATTTTTTTTTCATTGGTTTTTAGAGAGAGTAGAAGAGAGGGTGAGAGAGAGGGGGGAGAGAAACACCGATGTGAGAGACACATCAATTGGTTGCCTCCTGTACTCGCCCCAACTGGGTCTAGAGAATGAACCTGCAACCCAGGTATGTGCCCTTGACTGGGAATCAAATCTGTGATGCGCAGGCCAATACCCTAACCATTGAGCACACCGGCCAGGGCTGCTCTATTATTTGATGATGCAAAATGAACTTGCGCCTG